ACCTTTTTAGTGATATTTTGATGTAAAATTATTCCATTATAATCTTTCATCAAGACAACACGTCCGTCTTTGTATTTTAATTCTAAAACGAGTTTAAATCAAGGACGGTAGAATCTAACAAGACTGCTACATGCATTGTATTTTTGTAGCCCCCTACGGGTTGGTTGCCCGCACTCTACGTCACACTATGTGCCACGCCCTGTTAACTGTCATTGAGTACTATGCGTTTGCTGTGTGTTTTTAGAGATTTAGAGGTTACATGATAGGCTTTAATACGTCTAAAAAAATAAAACTTCAAAAATAATATGAATACGTCTACGATATAACCTCTAAAAATACACAGCAAACGCATAGAGCTGGGCGTGGCAGATGGTATGACGTAGTTTGCGGGCATGTTGCCACAACAATGAATGTAGCAGTCCTTGGTTTAAATTATTTAATTACTACTCTTTATTGGTGACCCCGACTAAAGAACTGCAAAAATTGCACTAACAAGAGGAAGGATTACTACATCCTTTAACCCGGACCTCACGTCCAACCACGTTGCCCCAGCCACTCTACACTAGCAAGAGGAAGAGTTAACCTCACCTCCAACCACGTTGCCCCATCCCCTTCGCTGCTACAGCTACGTTTTAAACGTACCTTGCAGCCCCTACGATAATACTACTACGTCAGATCTGGACTCCGCTTCTTCAACCCACCCCTTCGTTGAATCCTGATCAACCGTACCCTGTTTTGCTCCTTACTGTGCCAGCTATACTTTTTGGAATTTTTTCTTTGGATTCGTGGAGGACGGTTTGTGTAAGGCTTTAGTAATTCTTCCTTAATCAAGTAATTTTAAACGAAAAAAGCAGCAAATTACATTTTATATTCTCTATCATTTGTCATATTTGACATCCTATAATTTTATTTTTATTTTTAATATAATTTTTTACAATGGTAGACGCTACGGCGACAATTTTAACTTGGACATTATTACCAAATTTACTTTACCGCCTTTTTGGACTTCAAATCCTGCTGCGTGGTTTATGATTATACAATCACAATTCGTTTTGTCAAGGTTGCAAAACGATAAAACGAAAAATCATTTGGTTCTGACTCATTTACCAAACGATGTCGTAACATTAATTTTGGACGTTATTCAAAATCCCCCGGCGGATAATTTATATTTGTCACGCAAACAAGTTTTGATTGACAGACTTTCTTCGAGTGAAGAAAGACGTCTCAAATTCTCAAATGGGTGATCAAAAGCCGTCAAAGTTTTATAGATCCATGTTGGCTACTGCCGGCGGTTCACAGGTGGTCAGCAGAGCATTACTAATGAGGCTTGGCCAAAAGAGAATTCTGAAAGTGATATCAGTTGCTTTGTTATCTTCTGGCAAAAACGATGTTACTGATCTTTTGTCAATTGCGGACAAAATATGGGAAGCTCTACAACTTTCATCCAATCCAACTTATACATCCGAAATTAACGTCTGAAATGACTCTGTTTCGGTTGGTTGTAGATTCGAAAATATTTCACGCAAATTGTGGAAAATGGGTTCCGTCTCTAACGAATGTTGTGACTTTATGAAAAATTCACCAGGTAGTCGGAGAGGTTGGCCGTAAAAAAGTTAGGCAGAGGAACAGCCGAGGTCTTCCTTAAGAGAAGATCGGAGGCCTAAAAGAACGACGGGAAGATCGTCGTACCAGTTGCTCTTGCAACCTCTGGCAATTAAGGCGGTTTTGAGAGTTCGATGGAATCTCTCCAAAATGCCATTACTTTGCGGATGGAAAGAAGATGTGTGGATCTGGTGTGTACCTAAAATGTTGTTAAACTTCGAAAATAACGAAGATTCAAACAGTCTACCTTGGTCATGCGTGATGGTATGAGGTATTCCGAACCTAGAAAAATTTTTCACTCTAGTACATGTGGTTACATTTGTTCTCCTAGTCACCGAAACACCCTGTATTAATGATATACAGAATGAATCAGAAAGAATGGGAAATCCGAATACCGGAGACACTAGACACCAAAATATGACGATTTAACCTAATCGTCTCTTATACAAATGTCGGTGGTTTTCGAGGCACAGGGTGTTGAATGTTAAAATCTTATTCGAAAAATTTCTTTATAATTTTGAAGATTTTTGTACTATTAACATAAGATTTGGTAATTTTATGTTTTCGAGCATGAGAAATCCGAATTTGAAACTTGCTTTATAATTGCTCGTAGAGGGCGCTAGATACGCACTGCTCGTTTGATAAATCATGTGATGACTATTTTGTCAGTTTAGGTATGATGAAATAGAACCACAAATCTGAAAGAACTTTCAATTCTACACAAAAAAGGTAGTCTTGCTTAACTTGTCTAAGTCTACTGGTTTCCAAGTTATCTGCTTTTAATAGTTTCAAAGTAAATTTTTCTTAAAGATAACTTTTACATTTTACAATCCTCTTTTTTAAAGAGTTTTGAATGTTAAATAACATTTGATCATTATTTTGAATTGCAGTCGCAGCATCTTGAATTTTTCGCCTCAGTTTTTCGATCGAATTAATTTTCTTTTTGTATACCATTTTTCATTTCTGACCATATTGAAAAATTCAGTGGATTTAAATATTTTGGTGTCTAGAGTGTCTGGTATTCGGATTTCCCATTCTTTCTGACTCATCCTGTGTATAAGTGCTTACATCATAGTGTTTTTCTGCTTTACGCTGATGATTGTAAAATATTCCTCGATTGTAAAGGTTCATTTGATTTCTGATTGTCAAAGGTTACAAAAAGATTTAGACAGATTACAAATTTATAGCTCAAAAAATTTTCTTTCATTAAATTACGACAAATGCAATCAGATAGCGTTCAGCATAAATATATACCCATTGAGTTTCACTTATGAGCTTGGACAGGGACTCGTGAATTTATTGTCAAAAGTGAGGGATCTTGGCATTGTCCTGGATATTTACTATGAATTATTTTTCAACTATAATGTTGCGGAAGATTTCAGAAGATTTGTTAAGCTATGGCCACTACGAATCCCAGATCTGACACTATTAGACTTTTACTTGTGGGGTTATGTATAGCAACATAGTATCATATCAAATTCCAAAGAACAGGTATGAAATTAGAAGAGTTTTCTTTTTATATGGTGACCGGTAAAAACTGCACCATGACTTTACGGACACACTGTAGAATAGATCCATTGGGTTTATTGTTTTCGTATATCCAAATTCCAAATAAGGCATCAAATGGTGTCATTCCAATAACACTATTAATTGCGTTGTTATATGCCATAGTGGCTGTTCGTATTTTTCTTTCTGCTGGTATATTATCGTCACCTTCGAGACAACTCTAGTGTCCAAATAACGTGGAGTGAAATCTTTTCACAGTACCTTGGTTTTTAGGATTTTTTAGGGTACTAAAATGTAACGTGATCTTATACAAAGCATCAAAACTTTTAATAGCTTGTTATTCAGAAAAACGCAGTAATGAAAGTTGATGAATTTTCGACTCAATTAGAAAACTTAAAACATAGAAGTAATTAAGATAGGGATGTTCTCAACAAGATACAATTTTGATGAACTTCTTGAAAGCCTCCGGCAGAGTTGATATATTTTTTAACATTTCCCCAGCCCTGATTAGCTCATGGTAGCTCTGTGGTTAATATAATCTCTAATTTCTTTTTCTTGCTTTTATAGATAGCAGTTTTTCGCAATTTTTTAACTCAATTTAGGCATACTTTGCGGAAGTCAGCAGTATGGATCGAACACAATAAATGTTACGGACGTCCAGTTTTTTCCATTTTCGACATTGAGCTATTTTCACCTCTCTCATGAGGTAGAGAGCCAATTTACCCGACCCTTACACCTTCACCGTCAGCTTACTCAGCTTGTAAGAGTCATAACAGAAAAAAGTATCTTTGCTTAGATGCTCCGTTCTATTCCGTACTATTTGTGTATTATTTTTTGGTGATGAGCAGTCGATTGCTCTAACATAAATGTTTTATTGGGTATTGTCGTTATATATTGCAGGAAAAAAAATAAAGTGCGCAGGTATCTAAAGAGCGGATGGCTGCAAATGGTAGTGTGGTAGATAAACATCTCTAAATTTTTAGACGTGGATTAGGTGGCAAAACCAATGAAAAAAGCATCTTCTTAAAGCAAGTTAAACGTTATGTGGATTCTAGGGATTAATCGACTTTTAACAGATCTGAGTAGGTTAAGCTTGCTTATATATATATAAGTTAACTTCCACCTCCATCTAGCTTACAAATAAGTTATTAAGATGGATATGGAAACCCAAGGTATGCCTTTTCCCTTGTTTATTTTGGTTCGCTTTACCTACCCTCAACATCTAATGAATTCTTTTTCACTAAATTAAAACCTATTATAAATGCTATAATTTTGATATATACATATTTGGATTTAACATTTTTCGGTTGAAACGATTAAATATGCACACATTTTTTGTGTATCTTTCAAGTAAACATACAATGTAAATATTTATTCCAAACATAGCAGTTTGTACGTATTTACTTGTTTATAAATTCCGCTTGAATTATTTTTTTAATAATATTTGAGAAGTAATAAAACAAAATTTAACCTTCAAAATCGATGGTGATAATTTTTTCTTATTCTCTTTAATTCTTTAATTTTCTTTCTTGTTATTGTGTTGATGATTAAGACTTTTTCAATAAAATAACCTTCTTTGATGTTAAAGAATTATATCCAATTTCAATTACAACCCCCAACATTCGATTTAAACTCACGCAAACAACCAATTACGATCGTAATCTATCTGATCGAGCGTCAACAACAAAGTTTCCACCATAATTCGTACCCGTTACGACCTTATCGAACACAAACTCAGTTGTATTTCTTTGTTGACACTGCTAATTTTAAGTAATCCATTTTCGTTGGGCTATTTCTTTCTTTTATTTTTATCTTTGAGACATTGTTATCTTGCGGATTGGATTGAAATGGGTTTTTTTTTAAAAAAGGACTCTTAACAATAGATTACTTACTCTCCGAATGGAATATTCTTTGCCAATGGAACGGAAGAATAATAGTATTGTTTGTACTCGTCCATCCAGACTTCGGCGGCTCTTCTCGTATTTCTAGCAAAAACGTTACCGCTTCCTCCAGGAAATGTGTAAGGGTGACGTTTTCTAAATACATGACCAACCTATTTAAAACGAAAATTAAGTAATTTCATTTAGGATATTAGGAAAAAACATTAATCTATACGAAGATAGCCCCATTTTTTTCTAGATCCCAATTAGATAGGATTTTACATGTATTTGGGGCTAACTTCGCGTAGGTAAAAACTTACTCGACTACAAGGAATTATTTCTAAAGAACCACCACATTGCCACACCCTGAAAGAAATTTCCAAATTTTCCCCACCCCAAACATCCATTTTCATATCGTATTTTCCAAGTTTTTCGAAATAATCCTTATTGATTACAAATAAACCGCCCGCAATCATCGGTGTTCGAATCGGCTGTAAAAAGAAACCATAAAATCATAATTGAATGAACAAGTATAACTTGTATAGACCCTAACTAACAGCGCAAGAGGTGGTTTTAATTGTTATTCAATCCGTACGTTGCAGTGCTTTGTACGCGGTCAATTAGTTTCGCGTTGTTCCGAACCTCGGTTCTAATTAACTAAATTAACTTTGTTTTACCGAAACTAACCGACCATGTACAAATTCGTTTGATTTGGTTTAAAATAAAGCGTGATTGCTGCTAATAAATCAAATTCAAAGCACTATTAATCGCTATGTTGTAATTGCAGTTTACCTGTGTGGGATCCTTTTGTCTACTTTGACGTTCCATTGGGTTGAGATATTCCCACTTGAACACCAAATTCCAATCAAACCCACCCCTAAGATCTGCAGAGGCTCCTATGTACTGAAACGTGTCCATACTAATTACATCAATAACCGGACAAACCACTCTAGTTGGATCCTGTAATAGAAATTTAAAGAACATCGTTGAATATTTCAAATTTCCAAATTAAAAAATAAAAATTTTTTTTGTAATGAGCTTGAAATTGCAGTTTAAACATTAATTATCCGACCTTTTAGAGAGCTTCTCTTTGCGAAGAGTAAATGTAATTAGGGCTGGAGTTTAATTACAAACGACATGGTTTTCTTTTTTGCCATTTTGTTATCTTTTTGTTAGATCGAGTGGAGAAAAGTTAAGGAAAAGGGATGACCAAAAAGCGTTTTTATTACACGCTTCATTAACTCTTTTGGATATCAAGAAGCACTAAAAGAACCTTTGTTGTTCCCGAGGGGGTATCGAACTTCTTTTCTGAGTTGGCAATCAATAAATCTTCAAACTTTGTCACTTTTATGTGCACACCAAAATTATATAGAATTTATAGAAAAAAATTTCATTAATAAATTATTTAGGAAAATGTTGTTTTCAGAATATGTAATAAACTGAATAGAAAAAACACTTCTGTCGGAATATACATGCTGAAAAAACCACGTTATAAAACATAGCGACTAATTTAACGTTACTTCGCTACACGTAGTCTTTTTTAATTTTTCTTTTATAAAGTTGGGAAACAGAAAAAACACGGGAGTGCTAAAAAGTTGACACGTGTCATCAATCTCCTTTAAATATCAAGAAGTGTTAAAAAATCTTTTATAGTTTCCGAAAGGACGTCGAACTTCTTTTCTTGGTAAAGAAATCAATACATAACTTTTTGTCAATCTTACGAGATTTACTGGCTCCTCCACCAAAAATGTTGAGTAGCAAAAATTTCTTCAAATTGTGTTATACGAAAAATAAAGGAGAATTTAGGGGTAGCGACGTTAACGACGTACTAGAGGAAATGTACTAAAATGGTTAATTTTACATGTTATCGAATTAAAAGTGGTGTTTACCTCACAATTAATCGCTATCTAACTAAGTTGATAATTTTGAGCTCCATTAAAAGCTAAAATTAGCTGAAAATTTATTAGCTAATTAAACTGAAACGACCAGTTTAAAGTTAAATTAAAAATCAATTTCCATAAAATATTTACTCCTGCAATACTCTTGTAACATAATACATCTGATTTTTTCACTTTTGTTAAAACATATTATTTGTTATATTAAACCAATTTTTAGAAAATAAACAACATTGTTTCTAATTAAAGTGGAGTAACCAATTTAAGTTTGTATTAAAGATTAAACTTCACATAATATCTATTGATAATTTTGTTATTATTGTAATTTTTACACACTTTTCGTCAAATACGTGCTTATAAAGTATATTTTACCATTTCCTTTTACTACCCAAAACAAAGACTGTGTTTGTTGCGGATCTAGACAACTAACTGTAATTTTTATCAGGTCAACATATAGCCAAGAAAAAATGATGGTAGAAGATCTCCTTTAATAGGGTTGCCCAAAAAAACGAAATACATCAGAATGTCCAGAGATGAAGATAAAAGAGCTCCGCAAAACTTTACTGTTGCTGAGTACAATTTTGAAGGTGTACTTAGTACGCATTTTACTTAGAAATGATCATAGCAAACAACACTGTATACAAGACAGAATAAGAGCTAAAAACGTATGTTACTTTGCTCACAAAAAGTTATTCCATTCAAAACTGCTGTCTAGAGAATTAAAACTATTACTAATAATGATATTAAGACCGGCTGTCACATATGGATGCGAAGTCTGGTCATTTATAACAAAAAATGAGAATAGTGTAAAGATATTTAAAATAAAAATATCACGAAGAATTTTCGGGTCAAAATATGAGAACGGAACGTACTTATGTCGTATTATGGAAGAATTAAACAACTTGAAGGAGAAGATATTGTTAGGTTTTCTAAAAAGCTCAAAAAATGAGATGTATCCTATCTTAAGAATGGGTGAAACCAAAAAAGTAAAGAAAATTTTTGCGAGCAAACTAGATATTGTACCAAAAAATAGGGGAAGACCTAGAATGAACGAAGAAGCTATCTGATCGAAGAAGAAGAATGAGTTTGCCTCATTTGAAGACCAAGAGAGCGTAGTTGAACTGGAAGGTCAGGCGATTTGGCCACCAATTTCATCTTAAAATTATTTGAAAAAAAAAACTTAGACAGGTTTGCAAATGTTCCATGTTTCCAAAGAAACATGGGCTTTCTTGTTCAGAAGACAAGCATTTCTTTTTTAGTCTATACCTGGGGTGGTTTTTTAGGAAATAATGCCCTGTTAATGATGCTGGATAGTAGCAGCATCATGGCAACTGCTTATAGCGCTATGCGTAACTACATTTGTATGGATTTGAAAATTTTAGGCTTTCTACTAGAGCAACGCTCTACAAAGTTCATGTTTTCTCTACAGGTGAGTCAGTCGAGCTCGAGATACACAGCGGCAAAACCCAACTCAGCAAAAGTAGTCTAATCAAGAAATTCTACATCGTCATCCAACAAATTTTTTCGTTCACATCATCTCGAGGTTGGCATAATAAAACATTGCGTCAAAACACTGAATGTTGAAAGTAAATGTTTATGCCTTATAGCTTCTACTATTTTACCTTAACTTTAGAGAAAACGAAACAGGTGTATTTAATTGTTCTGACATTCATAACCTATTTCGTCAAAAAGAATTTGTCAATATACGACACAAACGCAGCTGGTCACCTTAACCAACCTCAATAACCAACATCAAATGCCATTATGAGGTAAATGATTCAAATGTTAGACATGTCATAACAGAGAACAGATTTCTATGAATGCAAATCAAAACTTATCATATGGAATAAGGAGGGAAAAAGACGGTTTAATAGCATGATAGTCATTTTACTACTACATTTAAGATCGTACTCCCTGAGAAAGAACAAAGTTAATAACAAAGTCTTTAACAGAAAAGAGGAGTAATTAATAGGATTCAAAAATAAATGGGGGGAAGAAGTTTGCACAACAAACTATGAAAAGAATAATTAAGGTTTAGAAAATTGACAATGCCCCTACTTCCAAATACCTTAACGGTTAAAACATGATTCTCGTAGGCATTGATGTATGTCTGATAAATGTAATCATATTGATGATTCTGCCCTGCATTACCAACACAACGAAGGAAGGGAACTCTGAACGTTGAAATTTCTAAGAAATGTTTATTACCAGTTTTAGAATCCATATATTCGCTGTTGAAGTGCAACCTGGTAGAACAGATTACGATTAGGTTTTGAGAACAGCAACGTGAAAAGAAAAAATTTCATCAGAATTAGTTTTAGAACAATTCCTTTGGGTTGAATAATGTGCAAATGCTCATATTTAAAATATGAGTTGATCAGGATCCAGAGAGTAGAAAGGCTATGGAAGTCTATAAAAACTTCTAATGAGATATAGATTTGTACTTTTGATTTACAAAAAGCGCTATTTTTTTCAAAAGTTTCCATCCGTTACATATTAAAAAAAAATTGTACGTATACAATAATTTGGTATTCACTGCTTACATGATTCCACTAGATACATGTATGCTTGGGGTTAGACAAAAGGTGGCAAAGATCTTTTCATAGGTTTCATAGGATCTTTCATCTTATGTTTCTAAACACTTAAGAGTAAACACACAGGAATTCTAAAACCACGTAAGCAAAGCGGCGCCGCTCTGATCATTTTGTTTGAAGTAAAGGGTTTCCTATTAAGATAGGCAAAAGCGGCAAGGTGGCGTCATTTGTCATTATTAGTTCCACGCTCAATATGAACAACATTCAAGCGAAGACAATGGCACAAAGGAGGGAATTATGTCCCTTAATTAATTAATTGAGTATTGAATTCGGAAGTATAAAGTAGACCAAGTTTATAGAAGATGACAAAATCTTCTTATAAAGTACGGTTTCAATGGGAATGCTTAATCATCAATTAACACGTGTGGTCTAGATTATGCTATTTGGAAAATTTTTTGGAAACTCTGTCACTGTAAAGATCGATCCATCACCTTGCTTTTAAAATTATAAGCATCAGCAACGCCCATTAGCATAATGGAAAAGTATTTCAGAGAGTGACATTATAAGTGTAAGAAAAAAAGTTTTTGAAAACTCTTTCAGGAAAGACTGGTGTAGCCACCTATCATCTACCAAGGATGTTATTATTTCAAATCCTATGGTACAAAACTTGCAACCTCCTTCCACACCAAGATTCCACCATACCCGAGACAACGGATACAAGTAGCAGTGCGGATCAAGATGTTTTGCCGAAGTCGATAAAGTGTGTTCCAAAACACACTTCTCCTCGTCTGACACAATATTAACCATGGGAAAAGTAAACAAGAACATGCTCATTAGTTCTTTGTAAGTTAATAGCCTTTTCTTAAGTGCTTGGATGATTTAAAGAGATAAGATATTCTAAAGTGTGTAGACGAGGATCTAAAGAGACATGAGTTTAGGGAGACTCTACAACAGGCCCAATACAAACCATATGCCTCTAACAGCCCTAAGTGGCATTAGCGAGTTTTCGTATTATACAGGGTGTTCATTTCAAAACTTTCCACCTCAATTTCTGTAAATCCGGAAGTTTAAAAAGAAAATCGCTGAAATAGGTAAAGAATAAAACCAAGGGGGACAACTTTTTATGCAAAAATTGACTCACTCACTTCAACCCCCCGCCGCTAGAAACCAATCCCTTAAAAATCTTAAATGGAAAGGGGTGTCAAGTGATACCTCATTTTAAAGGTCTTTTAAGGTACTACATGTTAGTATTTATTTTTTTTAAATTGATCGATTCGTTTTCGAAATTTCCCGCTTTAATTAATATTAAAAACTTTAATCACCTCCTTAAAAGCAAGAATAAGTAATCTTTTATTATTAATTTATAAAATTAAATTACCATGTTCGTTTTTACAACGACCATTAAACCTTTATTATTTCGGAGCAATCGGAAATATTTAAGAAAACTAAACACGTATAATTATGAATTAAACTAAATTTTATTGAAAGTATTTTACATTAAACCTGTATGAAAATTACTCTTGACTCGAATGGCCAAAAAAAGGAAAAAAAGAGACGAAATTTTTCTCTTTCTATAAACGAGTTATAGGCAGGCTCACAGTGCGAGAAAAGAATAAAATAAAAGTGCAATTCTAAACATAAGTTTATTTGGTTATTACTTAAACAACTTTGTGTTATCCACTTAACAAAGTTATTTAAATAAAACAGCAATAATGGTTTACAGTTTGCAGGAAAGGATTGAAATTGTATTAATGTATGGATCCCAAAATGAATGTGCTCGACGAACTGCCGCAGTTTTTAATGAAAGGCATCCAGATAAGAACGTATCTCATACATACGTCCTGAATCTCATGAAGAAATTCACTCAGACTGGGTCCGTTGCCAACATAAAACATAATGAGTCGAGAGTTTTGAATGAAACCGCTCAACTGGAAGTGTTGGGTCATTTCGGTATCAACCCCAATACTTCATTGCGTCAGGTATCTCGTGCAACTGGTATATCCTTGGGTTCTGTTCATAAAGTTGTAAAACTTCACAAATTCCATCCTTATAAATTGAAAATACATCAAGAGCTAACTGAAGACGATTTTGACAGGAGAATACAGTTTTGTGAAGAAGTGACCACTATTATTAATAATAACAACGTTTTTGTGAAAAATATCTGCTTTAGTGATGAATGCACTTTTTCTTTAAATGGATTTGTAAATAAACATAACTGCAGATATTGGAGTAATGAAAACCCTCATCTGACTGTAGAAGGGCATACACAATATCCTGAAAAAGTTAATGTATGGGCCGGCATTTTGGGAGACCAAGTGATTGGTCCAGTGTTTATCGATGGAAATTTAAACGGCGAAGTGTACTTGGATATGTTAGAAAATACTATCAATCCACTAATTACGGAAGCTCTCGAGAATCAGTTGGATAGAGAAGAAAATGCCTTACTTGATGAGAATGAATTACATTTTCAACAAGACGGAGCTCCTCCTCACTATGTTCTCCCAGTACGACAGTGGTTAGATAATACGTTTCCAAACAGATGGATAGGACGAAGAGGTCCTATAGAATGGCCAGCCAGATCACCAGATTTGACGCCATTAGACTTTTTTTTATGGGGTCATTTAAAGTCTGTTGTATTTACCCCTCAACCTCAAAATTTAGAAGAACTTCGTCAGAGAATTACTGCAGCTTGCCGTGGAATTCAAAGGGAAGTTTTTGAAAATGTGCGCCGTAGTTTTGAACAACGGTTGTACCATTGTTTAGCTAATAACGGACAACACTTTGAACAATTATTAAGTTGATTTTCTCTGCAAAAAGTTTTTGTACATAATTAAATAACTGAAAATAAAATAGAACGTTTCAAGCAGTTAAAAGTTGTTTAAGTAATAACCAAATAAACCTAAAAGAAAAGAAAAATGAAACAGAAATCGTTTTTTCTAAATATCTCTGACAGACGCCAGGCAAGCTAGCCAACGTAGGTATATCATTGTCAAAATAACCTAAATATCAAAGATTTCGGATTGCTCCGAAATAATAAAGGTTTAATGGTCGTTGTAAAAACGAACATGGTAATTTAATTTTATAAATTAATAATAAAAGATTACTTATTCTTGCTTTTAAGAAGGTGATTAAAGTTTTTAATATTAATTAAAGCGGGAAATACAAAACAAAGATTTTCGCAAAAATTTCGAAAACGAATCGATCAATTTAAAAAAAATAAATACTACCCCCTTGGTTTTATGCTTTACCTATTTCAGCGATTTTCTTTTTAAACTTCCGGATTTACAGAAATTGAGGTGGAAAGTTTTGAAATGAACAACCTGTATACCTAAGTATAATAACCGCAAAAGTATATTTTCTGAACTATGTAATTAAATGTATGGACATTCGGTTTTTTAGGACAACAAAAATGTTGAATACGATCAGCAGAAATTCCTCACATCGTTCAGACCTGTTTTCATGTTACCAGTAAATGTTAAGGAATTCTGCAATCAAACAGTTACAAAACGAGCATGAAGGATTTGAATAAGATTTGTTTTGTATTTTATTTTTTGAATTAAGCAATCTACGTAATGGTAATAATCAACATTGAGACAGTGAAAATTGTCAATAATCTTCTAGTTTTTCTTATTGTCTTATCTATATTCAAGTTCTGAAATATATACGACTAAAAGTGTTCCGCTGTTATACCAATTCCTTGATCCGAAAATGTAATAACATCTAATAAAATGGGATAAAGGTATATTAGAAATAATTTAACACTTATTAGATTGTAATCCCCAGATTGTAATCGAGAGGTTTAGGTTTAATTAATTCAATTTGAACGTTTGGTTGCGTATTCATTACGCTCGAAAATCCTGGATTAATTAATTTAATTAGTTCTAAGCATTCGATAATTTTAATAGCCATACTATTTTAAATGTTTATTCAGTATTTAAGTATGTCCATCGAAAATTAAAATTAATGAAATCTAATTATCGATTTTATTTCGTAAATTTACTATTAATATTTACTATTAAAAAATATATGATTATAAAAAAAGCAACGAAAGGAGTTTCAAGTTTGGACCATCACTCATACTTGTCGGAACGTTTGCGGTTCTAACATGCACTTACGCAAATAGGCGTTTCAAGTGTCATAGGAAGGATTTTCAACGAGAGATTTATGACCGCGGTCTGGTTGTACAAACTCTGAGGACTTCGCGAGGACATGAAATGCAGATCGAGTTTTAGATAAAATTTGATACAAGAAAAATGCAAAGTTTTATTAGGACACCTTAAAAAAGTTAATTAAAGATAAGAAAAGAAAATCTAATTTAAGCGTTTTTACGTTTAATCTTAACAGAACGATTTGATTTAAAAAGAAAAACTGAATACAAAAAGAGAATAATTTCTTTTTCCTATCTCCCTTTTATTTCTTTTTACCTCCGCAACTCGTTCCAAAAGAGGCTCCAACCAATTAACATTGCACTCACAATGACTATCCAGAAACGTGAGTACGTCCGCTGTAGCAGCATCCGCTCCCCTTACTCGGGATCTCATCAAACCCTCTCGTTTTTCATTGCGAAGAACCCGAACCTTTTGGATCTTTGCCAATTCCGCACCATCTTCAGCTAGAAACACACACACATTTCAAAAACGTCCAATTAAATAAAACTTAGACCCTAAAGCTAAAGAAAAAGAAAAGCTTAAAATATTTGCAAAGTTTTTGAGTGATTGAGAAAACACATCGGTGCTCTAATTGAAATACCGGAAGGAAATAAAAAGAAATAAAGAGGAGTCGGAGGAAATGAAGCGGTCGGGTTGGCTGGTTTAATGAACTGGGATTTGGTGGTTTTAAAGCGGGTCAAGTGTACGCTAGGGAATCTACTTTTTTTCCGGTAACTCTCCGGAAGGAGATTTAATTTAATTCTGGAGAGGATTTTATTACTACTTTTTTTACACTTACGGTTATCGCTGAAATCGTCTACTAAAATAATTTCTTTAATAAGATGTTCTGGACTTCTATTCAAAACACTAAAAAAGTAAAAAATATGTTAAATATATCGCAACACTATTTTATTGTTCATGGTGAAATCGGACATGTTAAAGCTAGTCTATGGTTGATGAACAGATCTTTTAGGATATGACCAAGGACAGAGGTACAGATTTATTACTATGAAGGTGTAGCAATAAATCTTGGAGTCTTTGTACGCAAGCAAAATTTGAATTGATCCATTACTTTTTGTTTCAAGAAGAAAAGTTGTTCCATTTGTCGTGGAAAAGAAAACGTGATTTATGTATATTGTATTTGTCAGAAATGTTGTAACAGACGCAAATATTACTGATGGCAATATTTAGGTTGGAAGACCTGTAATTAAAATATCTTCCTACTAAAATATCGTTAGTAATATACAATTAGAATGACAAGAGTTGATATTGTTGATGTTGATACCCGCAATCTATTGAAGAGATATGGCTTGGACATATACAAGACATTTTAAGAGTTATTTCGTTGTAATATAACACTGCTTGCATTGTGTTGCACGCCAACTTTCTTAGTTCATTATTATCGAATAAGTGTTATTTCAGATCTTGGAGAAAATCCATTAATCTAACACGAGATTAAACTGCTGCATTCCGAAGCAATGATGCATGTTTAACGATGATTTAATGATGATGCATTAATACTGAATAAAGACTGAAAATCGACTAATTATATTATAGCAGAAAAAAGATTTCACTAGTTCCGAGTTGTGTCATTCGGACTTTACAAGCAACTCTGCAGCAAAATTTCAACATCTAATGGACAGAACAAGTAGATGTATATTATAATAGACAATGTCTCAAATACTAGATAGGGCAAAAGTAAATGTGGCACAATTTTTGCAAATTGCATCAAATATTATTGTGCTCTAACATTTATGCTATACATAGAGAAGTAGTGCACAGCACAATAAGCTATAAAGTGTTACACACCCAAATAATGCGGAATTATTGTTACTGCTTATTTCATCAATCTCTGGTCTCTTGTTTTCACGCAGCGAATATCGCCGTCGTTTAATTTTACACGTGTGCGCGAAAAAGTGTCTACTTGAGTGGCTTCTGATACCAAACTAAGACCATTAAAGTAATGAAGTAAAGAGTATCGTTAAAGTCTAAATGGTTCAACAACTGCTGCCTGCTGACTGTGAACTTAGGTTAACTTCTACCTACGCTATTAACCTGGTACAAGATCACGATAAATCTTATTTAAAGTCATCATAAGCGACAAAGCCCATTTCTGCTTAAACGGTTATAAGAAAACGTTGTGTTTATGGGATACAAAGAATCCACAGGAAACATACGAAGAGACTTTGCAACCCCTCAAAGTGACTATGATGTAAATTATGTACCAAGTCAATTTGCATTAATCAGTTTGCATTAACCAAGTTAGTTGAAGAAGTGGTTTTTTGACAAATGTCTTAGCACTCAATTGATCAACCGAATTTCTGGGTACCCATTTAGTGCTTTTTGTTTCAATATCGTTATTTGGACGATTTGACGTAAATTTAATAGTTTATTTAAAGAGAGTTAGAAAAAAATTTTGACTTTTCGATCGTCAAAGTTAACTATCCGGGATACCTGGGTATCCATATACATATTTTATGTAAATAGGATCAGAAATATCCTATATAAGTCCACTTTTTTTAATCCTGTTTTTTCTTTTTCGGTAATTCGACAAGTGGAAGCCAAAGCAGCTGCGTCCATTATATTGCCAGTCCTAGAGGAAAAGTGTCATACTATATGAATATTTTGCATTCGATCTTCAATCATTGGGAGAGATAATACTTTTCCCAATTGACGCAAAAATATGCTGCGTCCATTATTTCCTTTTTGCATTATATTATTATTTGCCATATAAATTAGGTACGCAGCAGGAGATGAAATGTCCAGAATGTTATAGAATAATGCGAGAGGTTATCTATTTGCTTTTCTGTGTCTATTGTACTGTGCAATTAAGTATGTAAGTAGGCACTACTTACATACTTAATAAAAAGCCTTATTATAAAAAGTTACAATTTCTTGTTTTTTTTTTCTCCAGATGTTGTAACAATCTGAACAAACTGTTATGTAGTTTTGGAATCCGTACAGTGTAGAACGTACTTGACGTAAATTACTATCATCAAATTCCATGATAATAGATGTTTTGCAAGTGGTCGAAAAACAATTATGCATTGTGATGTTTCGTCCAGATACTTTGTATGAAGCGACCAATTCTTTTACTACTCTTTCACGTTGATTTATTTCCCGACCTGTAGATAATTTTCCGGTATAAATCTGTCCTGTAGCAGATGATAGTTCTTATGAAATATATGGTTTCAATTTCATTCAACCTCGATGTGGAAATGATTGTTCATCAATTGTTAAATTTTCGACCATAACGCGCGCAGGTGTTGCATTAAACACGAGAAGTCAGAAAGGAATACGTTTATAGACTTTTCTTACCTGCAACGTTTGAAATATCATAGTGGCTACCCGAGTACGTCGATTGGTCAGATAACTTGCAACTTTTGATTGATCAATTGACGGTTAACGAGCTAATCAAATTTTTGCTGAATTGTGTCCGACCATTCTTGGTTCCAAGAGGACATAACAACCACTCACACAGTTCGGGAAACCAAAGGGATTTTGGAATACCAATTTCCGGGCCGTGTTTTGATGATTGCAACTGGCTGAACAGATCGACAGACCTAACGGCGTGAGATTTCTTCCTTTGAAATCTCGCATTTACCATAACAAACCACAAATGTTGTAAGTCTTGAAAACCAATCGCCAATTTGGAGCCAATCTTTTTCGAGCAATAATTCAAAATGATTTAAAACGAGCATAAATGTGCATCAACACAGGAGAAGGGTCAATTTATATTATAGATAACAATATGAGAAAGCGACTTGAAAAGCAGAAATAACGAAACATGATCTGTCTTTCTTACCTCTAAAAACAAATTTTACGAAGTATTGATTGGCATTGAAAGCAATGCCATGAGATGTGGTCAGTTTAATAGAAAAATGTTATTATTATACTATCTAATCATTTTTTCCTTTTATTACTGCACTCATGGTATTCGATTTTTCCATGACTTATAATTTACTGCACATTAAAACTTCCTTCCAAATTAATCACTTCATTGGGTTGTTTGAGGTAGTTTAGCATATTTGTTTAGAAACTAGTTGGCAATTGATGCAATTAATTAAATTTAATCACAGCTTTCGGAATAGTTGTATTCCAATATTTTTTCAGTTTTCTTTATCTCTTAAATTTTTTATTCTATTCTTAAATTTATGACCTTATCTAATTATGTATAGACGTTAAAAGGCTTAACATCAGAATATTCTCAAAGTAAGTTCTTTCAAATATGTACTCAAGAGTCGCATTAATTTGAACTTCGCTATTGTTCAAAATTTGTACTTGTCGATGCCCCTTCAGGAGGTGCAAAATCTTTTTTCTTAAGACCGTCTTTACACACCTGAAAAATACTTGTTTAATATGTGCAGGTTTTGATAAAGATGAGGACTTATTTCATCTTGTAGTTGTAACACAGTTAACCATAATCTTATCTGTGTTATTGAAACTAATGCGTAGGGCATCAATCAGTTCAGTAGAAATACTATTATTTTGCTGCTTAACTATTCTTTCATTCTTTTCTAATATATTTCGTTTCAGTATTGAACACTCTCTTTTTCTAATAAATGTAATGTGATGTAGGTTGACGCAAAACAGCAACCAATCTAAATTGAAAGATCTGACGCCAATGCTAGATTTGTACGAAAGTTAAAAACAATACCCTCTAAAAAGACAGAAAATTTGGATAGATATAAATCTCGCTCTAACCAAAAGTCTGGAATTAGGACTGGTTTCGGCTGCTTATCTACCCTTTTAGATAATATTTTCTGATCGATGGGTTTAGAAATGCATTTGTGGTACTTGATGTTTGTAACACCTTCTTCGGCTTATTTTAACTTCATTTAGAAGTTAAAATTTAAAAGTGAAATTTTATGAAGGTTGTTTATTCTGATGACTCTTTCAAAATATATCAAGTATATACCATATTGGTAATGCGTAGTGTTTCATCCGAGAATCGATCAGAGATATCATCCGTTCTTCCTGTTGGTAAACATCCACCACCTATAAACCTAACAAGACCATAGGAGTTTCTCTCAGGAATCCAAAGGACAAACTGAAATTGGAAAACCTAGGAATTTATTCCATCACCTGCGACTCGTGCGACAAGAACTAAGTGGGGCAGACTGATAGAAGATTAGCCGCCAGAGTGGAGGAGTACAAGCTGAGTATCCGCAACAAACAACTCACATCGCTGAGTATCCGCAACAAACAACTCACATCTGCTCTGTTCCGGCACCATCTCGACACAGGACACACCATCAACTTTGAGGGCTGCCTAGAAATAGCCAACATTCCACATTGGAGGACCAGACTCATCCGTGAGTTCATCGAAATAGTGAAGAACGATACCCTCAATAAGAGAGATGACTGATAAGTGTAGGGCACTTATCAGCCACGTGGAAAACAATCCTACACCGTTCGCGATCCAGAACAGCTTTCCCGAGACATGAACTATCACACTCTGGACAAAATATTTTGGAAAAAATCGAAAATCAGCAACCGCCGGACGGTAGGTCAATGACCTCTCCTTATCACTCACGGCAGACGTCAGCTCGAGAAGAACGGATGAAATCTCGGATGGACCACAACAATATATATCATATTAAATATACATCAGAATATTCTAAAATTAAGTTTCTGCAGCAATTCGATTGTCACATTTCTCTTCTGCTAAATGCTGCAAATCATCCTGGTCTCATTTTCTTCTAGAACTAGGCTTTTATTCATCATTTATACTGACTAGTACCACCGGACGCAGTGAAAAATTTTGTTTGGTATTATCTTTTTTTGATCATCTGAAAGACTCTTGCTTTCTTAAACTTGTTGCTGACCTAATAGTCTTGTCGGGATTACTATTCTACAATGAGTTCACCAATGTTAACAGCAGTAATATATTTATGAGCATCATTATTCATGTATTTAAAGCATTCTTTGTTGTAGATATTTTTCGATTGAAATGGAAGGCTACGTTCATGATTTAGTAAGTTTACAGAGTGCAATGAATTGCGTGATTATCCATCATTAAACAAATAGGATCTTTGAGATTTAATAAGAACCATTAGATTATTTTATAACCAACCTCAGAATATACAAATCAAGCCTTTTTCAATATTATGGCGATTAACATGCTAAAGATGGTATGGGGTGTGCCTTTTAAGTCCTTTGACATAGATGAGATCATTATACCCTAATATAGACATTCTACAGTTGTTGCTCGAGGTATCAAGCAACAGAGTAAAGTTGATGTTTTACTGCGTTATAGGACATCTATATTTATATCATAATCAAACAATTGCATCATAATGAATGAGTGACGTCGGATGTGAGAGCAAGTTAATAATTGGAAAGGACGCATCTTGAATAAAAAATGTATTGCCTTTATTTATAGTTAAGTCATATTTATACTTTGGTATATTAGCCAGAAGGTATCAAGCAATTTTTATTGCCCAGGGATTTAAAATATTTTTTTTTAATTGGGCAAAGTATTAATAGGGCAGAGTGGAGGTATCCCTAAAATTATGGATCTATTGTAAGTTGTGATAGGCCGAAGGTGTTTGCGAGGTTGTTTTCTTGTGTCGGTGTGGAGTAAAATTCTAATTTGGTTTGGCTTTCATGGTGGCTGACGGGAGGATTGAAATAGATTCAAATATAATATATAATTTAAAGAACGTTTATCAAATATTGATGACACATACAATTTTAATAAACGGTTTGGTCACAATCTTGACTATCGGATAATTATATCAGTATCGATTGTGAAAGTGAAAAACCATTTATTTTAATGCAAATTTGTTAAAAACAAATTCGCAATCAATTCTTTCTTCAAAAAGATTGTAATAAAAATTATGGCACGATTTACGAATGCAATATGCAATAGTGATGGTCGTAACAATTTTACATTTAGAGCCGTCGCGTTGCGGTCGTAGCCCGGAATGATGAAATATTTAAACGAGGCGTCCGGTTTAATATCGCATTTGACGCCATGAAATTTTTACGAGTCTCGTGAAACAGTACGTGGAAATTGCGAACGGTCAGGTATAAACCTTTCTTTCCCTTTTTTCATTCGACAATTTCCAACTCTATATTTTTCATAATCTCTTTAACCTATTATTCATTACGTTCAAAAAAGCAACTTACCTGACTATAGTTCTTAATAAAGTAGATCTGGCTTCATTATGAAATGTTATAATAACCGAAGTTGATGGTAAATCATGAGACCACGCCCTCGTCCTGCACCTGAAACAATCCCAAAACAAAACTTTGCTTTTAACTGCTCTCAACGATTTTTTTTTGTTATTTCTTTTACACTTTTTAAAAGCTATAGTTTTAAAGTCCATAAACCTTCTCCGGAAACAATACAGTTTATGCACGGTTCGTTGTCGTTAAACAAAGCAAGCTTGAGCAAAGCTCGACCAAGAAGGAGGTTGTTAATTAATTTCAAAGGGCTCTTCCTATTCCTCTATCCTATTTTCAGGGGTTTCCCTATTCGTTCCCTCAATTTCAAACCGAGAGTCTCTCGCATCGGAGATTATCGTAATAGGCACACGTAATCTACCACTCCTATTTTCTCCTTATCCAAGTTCGTTTATGTTATCATTTCATAAAAACCAGGATAACGAGAAAGCATAATAACTCTAACTAGTACTTTTATGTTCAAGATAAATTTTTTTAGGCATTAAAAAATAAGTGAAATCACACTAATTATGGATGGTCAGAAAATCTTGACGTCCTATTGATCTACAAAACGATCCTTTCACTGGCTCCTTTCGCAATTACGGTTTTACTTTCGAAAACCATCTCGAGATTCAACCGTTACTTAATTCCCCATATACGAAAGATGGCTCCGCATTCCAATAAGATTACTTATTTTGCTGCTTCTGTAATTTGTTAGCTGATGTCATCAGAGTGAAACTAATTATTTTATACTCTCGAGTTGTCATCTAAACAATTTCTATGTAATTAAAAGAAATTCAACGATGCAAAAGAATTTTAATTTGTTTACATACTTAACAGTTTAACATTACATAAATTAGAAAAATATATTTTGGTTTATTTTAACTCCTTAACCATAAAAGTACTTGATCTGATCTACAAAATGGGACAGGTTAATAACTAGGAAAGCAAGCACAAGTGTTTGGGTTGGATTGAGTTGGGTTGTGTTGAATCCTCCATTTATCTTAATTAAATTTTAAAATAGTAAGGATTGGGCAAAGAAACTGTGCAAAAAAAACTGATAATAAACTCGTTGAAATGCCTCTCATCCAATACACAATGTCAGTCGTTTGAGTTTCATTCGAGTTTTATTACTTCGTAAACTAAAATGTAGGTTTAAAACGAACTTTGCAATAAAAAGTAAATGACCAAAAAATCCTGTAACAAGAATAAAGGCTTGCAAAGTGAAATTGAATAATTGATAGAGCTGCTCGTTCCTTGTTTCAAGATTAATTAATAAGCTCGCCCTACCGGGATGTTCTTCTTCCTTTCTAAATTGATTAAGATAAGAGAATGCAAATAAATTCGGGAACAATTTCAATTGAAAACGCCCTCAAAGTCAGGATGTGGCAAAGACAAATTAACTCAACCCTTCTTGTTCAGGTAGGTAGTTTAGCAGCAATAAATTTAACGGGGAGTTTATAACTTTAAAGAGCTTTTAAAGTGACGATAAAAATTAAATGAAAAATGTCCTTTAACTTGAACGTTAAGCAATAAAAGTTTTAAGTTTCTTTCTAATATGGTTCACACTACAGAATAAGAAGAAGACAAAAATCAATACTCTTTTACGACAATATCCTCTCGGCTACGACGGAAAAGGTAAATAAGATTACTAAGGAAAATGAGGAGAAATATTGCTTTCGTGTGTTTCATAAGGACCAGGTGGCATAAAAGAGATTGAATGATGCGAGATCATATTCCTTTCGTAACAAAGTTAATAATCAGATCAAGTTTCACGTCGTCTTTTCATAAAGCATTTAAATTGTATACCAATAATACTTTCATAACATTGTGGCTACCGAAACAAAGTTGAAATGTTTTATAAGGATATATCAAGTAAGTTAATCAAGAAAACGTCGTTAACGAAGAAACTTGGTTCTTTTGAGACTGAAAGGAAATGAGGGGATAACTTTGTTTCGAGTTTATACGATGGGAAAGTCTAAATTAAACGAATCTCATACAAAACACAAAGCTAAGAAAAAAACTTTCAAAAACGTTTTTAAAAGTTAACAAAAATAGGTCAAGTAATTCGCGTTGGATTTACTTTAATTTTTGTTAATTTTACGCAATTTGTGCGATCAATTTAAACAATATCACGTTTTAACGTTTTATTTGAATTAGCTTTAATTCAATTTGTTCACAGTAATCGCGTTTAATCCAGAAATATTTATAAAAAATGAAATGGTAGAATTAAATTCGTTAAATATTGGGATGAAACGATTCGGAGTAAATGAATTTTGATAGATCATCAATGGGAAAAATGATATTAAAGATGAGATTAAAGTTAATATGATGTGGTAGTAAGAGTACATATATTGTGATATATATTTATAAAGTTCGAGGTAAACAGCGTAGGGTAATTGTTTTCAAGACTCCTCCTTCCTCAAGATGGGTAAATGAAGGGATTGTGAGCTGCACACAAGGCGCAAAATGCGTCTTTTTAATGACTTCGACTTGTTTTCATGCGGTGTAAAAAGTCTAGTTAATAACAATAATTATCAATTATTTTAGATGTTGTCCATAATTACTATAAGTATTGATTAAAAAGGGACTCTTTACTTCCGGTATTGTTTATTAAATAAATATCAACAGGACTAGTTTCGGGCTTAGTCCAACTTCAGCTGTCGTATTTAATTAAGCACCTAACAGACGTAAAACAAGGAAACGATTAACACTAAGTAACTGTTAAAATGCTCGTAGCAAACGTGACGGATCATCACGTTTGCGTCTAAAGTCCAAAGTGTCTAAACTCTGAAATGATAAACTCTAAAATACTCCCGTTCTATGCAAAAAGTATATTTTGAGCAACTTCGCTTTTATGCAACGTCGTTGTTTTCATAGTTTCTTTAGAAAATGAACACTCTCCTGACTTCGTACAGCGGTAAGCTTTTCAGATTTGTTGACTTTTCATTGCCAGCTAATTAATGGGGCACTATAATACATTTAAACTCCAGCAATGAGATTGAATTATCATTTGTTAATTGACATAGTCTTCAACGCCAGAGGCATGTTACTCATAAATAAATAGCACTCACCTCCGCTTCTTTTCAAATAGAAATTGTGTAGTTGTAGTCCATTGATTTGTTAAAGCTCTCCAAAACGTGGTGCTGTTGCACATCTACTGATTTTTGGTTATTGATGACCAACGACTTACTTTACAAATACAAATTACTCTAACAAAATTACCTTTTTCTTTTTAAATAATTTTTCAGTGGTACAATTCAGCCCTCTCAGCATTTTTAGTAATGTATGATTACTAAAATATTTATCAAAAAAGAATGATGTGGTCACAAGGTAATGCAATAATTTGCAGAAAGATAAGAAGTATTCTAGATGCATTTCGCGTCACAATATGTATTAAAATCATAAAATATATCCCGTGAAACTACATAATATCCAGTTCTTGTATCCAAAGCGCATTAACTTGCGCCATTCATGTATTGCTCAATGGATCAATTTTAAAAATCTTGATTCAAGGGTTACTTCAATAGTGCTACAATTCTCCAGATTTTCTTTTAGATTTTCTAAATGGTCAGCAAAACACGAAGTTGTTTGCACACGTGCATCAACGTTATAAAATTTGAGGTTTATGTTGCTAATTTGATGGACATGCTGATTTGATGATGGTCTATCTTTTTATACTTGAAACAACTTCGTGTATCTGAAATCATTAACGTTTGGGTTGGAACCATATTTACATCAACAAGGGCTGGGTTTTTTCTTGGAACCTCCAGGTATGCCGATAACAAAGTAATCAACCACTTGTTACAGCTGTGGTGATTTTTACTGTTAGCGCCAATATTAACAATGTTCTGTAACTCGGTAAATTTCACTTCAATTTTTTCAGGTAAGTTATCTTTTTTACTAGCTTAATCACGTAAGAATTTATTATTTCAATTAAGTAAAACATCTAGGGAATCTTCCACTAAGAGTTCGTTTTGCAGGAAGCAAATCGATTGTTGATGTCTTAAAAGTTTCTCAAACTTGAGTTTCAGGTTACCAAGATCTAAACTATGCCTGTGCAAACCGCGTACTATTCGTCCGACTCTTTCATTTCGACTTCGTTCTGCACCTATTTGTTCAATATTAAATAGCATTGCTCCGCTCTCTAAAGCTAAAGTTTTCCAAAGCTAACGGTTTCATATAACTACATCAAATCCAGCGCCTCGCCCGCAAGCGATCTCGGTGGTTAAATGGATAAAAAAAGGATAAATGTCTTTGTATCTTTACCAAAATATGCAATGAACGATTTCGACTCAAATCGCCGAGGTCGCTTACGGGCGAAGCGCTAGAGTCTTCCAAAGCTGACCGATTTCGTATTGATACATCAAATCCATCCGCAAACGACATTGGCGATTTGAGGCGAAATCATTCAATAAATATTTGGGTAAACACACAAATTCTCTTATAGGAAGACATTTACCCTCAAACCGCCGAGGTCGCTTGAGGGCTAGGCACTTGATATGATGTATTAAAATGAAATTGTTATATTTGGATGACCGTGCAGGCGTGACTCTGGAGTCTTCCAAAGCTGACGATTTCGTATTGATATCTAAGTTTTCCAAAGATTATCTGAGACTTTGCAAACAATTTAGTAAGATTATCGTTAAAAAAACATCGTGGAAGATATCCGGAGATTTCCAGAAGAATTTTAAAACGTTCAAACGATTTGTGAAGAAGCCACACGATTTTTAAAGGAATTCTAAAGATTATCTAAGAGAGAGAGAGAGAAATAATCTTTATTGGCTACCGATTCGGAGTTGTGGAAGCCCTGATCTTTCCACCTTACAGTATTATGTAATACATTTTGTTTTATTTAAATAATTTTATGTTTCTTCTTCTGTGTTGTGTGTCAGAGTTTCGTATAGGGCCCAGTTGTTCCTGTCATTTTCTACCACCTATCTATTATGTGGTTTTTTGGTGAATTTTTTACTGATTTCTGCAAGTCTTAGGTTAATTGGTTGTATTTTTGTTCTTACGTATAGATTTTCGTTAATAATGTTGTGCAGTGGATTTTGAGGATTGCGTATCTTCGTTATAATTTTCAGGCATTTTCTTTCTGCTTTTATTATTCTTTGTTTTGTTTTCTTTGATGTATTGGCTGTGAGAATTTGACCGTAGTCTAAAACCGGCCTGCATATTGCTTTATAGATCTTCGTAGCAGTTTTTGTTGAAATGCCTTCAACGTTCTTGTATGTCAGAGCTCTGAAATATTTTGCTCGTTTGGCAGCTTCAACTCCTTTGAATTTGAAGTGTTTGAATGGTTTTATGTTGTTGTCTAAATCTATACCAAGATATTTAGTAACGTTGGAACCACGTTTCATCGTGGTTGTGCCAGTATTAATTTTAGGAGATCTTTCGCTGATGCGGTGGTTGGGAATCATAAGTTGGAACTTGGAGGGATGGGGTGTAAGTCTCCAATTTTTGAACCATTTTAGTCTTGTATCGTACAGCATTATTGTGTGATACCAATGTTGTGTCATCTGCATACTGGAGGATGTACAGTTTTGGGTCAAAGCTGGTCGGGTTTTCTGCATAGATATAGTAGCAAAATATATTGTATAAAGTTGGAGACAGAGGAGATCCCTGTGGGACCTTGCGCTGGCGAAAATGGGAAAGAGAATTCCTCTCCTACCTTTACTTGAAGTTGTCTATTATTTAGGTACTCGTCTATGATTTTAATTAAGGCATCATTGACATCTGTTTTTTCCATCTTGTATAGTAAACTCTTATACCATATCGTGTCAAAGGCTTCATTTAGGTCTAAGAACAGTGCAATAGATTTTCTTTTTTGTTTGTGGTTTACTTCTTATTCACTAGTGTTATTAACGGATGGGCTGTAGAGTTTTGTGGTTTAAATCCAAACTGGTATGTTGGTATGATTTCTTGTGTAGCTTTGGGGATTCGTTGATTAATGATACTTTCGAAGATTTTGCCTATCCCTGGAAGGAGGGTTATTGGTCTGTAGTTCCTGAGTTGTGAATGGTCAGCGCCAGGTTTGAACATTGTTATAATGGAATCATATTTCCATATTTCAGGAAATTTTCTTGACTTTAAGCAGTAGTTGTAAGCTTGGCGAATAAATTTGTGCACAGTGGGATTTAGATTTCGTAATAAATGCTTAATTATCTAAGATTTTTCAAACTGTTTACAAAAAAATTCCGATGATTTACAAAAACGTTGGGGAATTTCCAAAGTTGTCGAAGGAATTTTAAAGACATCTTGAGATTTCCAGAGGAGTTCCTCTTCAGAGGAAGTCTTTCAAAAACCTTCCTTAGGATGTCCAAATGCATCAACTCCTTCCATTTTGACATTTTCAGAGTAGTTTCAAAATTTACCCTTCTCAGGATTCTGTCATGGCGTAGAACTCAACACTTAGTATTGAAACATTCCAAATACAAAGTTGTGTTTTATGACATCTCGCGATCAATCACATGTATTTCTTGTTTTATGGCAAGTCTGATTCTGAAACCATTCTATCATAGACCTGGGATTTTAAATGAGCGTAAGTTCCCTCAAAGACTTAATTATGTTCAATCTACAATCTCTCAATAACAAAATTTCTTAAGTCTTCTGTCATAGCATGATTAAGTAAAACTCAAATAAGTAAGTGAGGTATCCGGGAAATCCGAATTAATCAAACAGATATATGATATGACAAAACCAAATTTTTGATACACTCAACGATTCAATAGTTAAATCTTTTTTCGGAATCAAACAAATCGTTTACGAAACATTGTTTAATTTATTTTTCAGCGTTAAAGAGAAGATTAAAATGAAACCATAAAAATTGTTTCAGTTGTGACGCAAAAGCTTTTATTTAAAGAAAACTATAAAACTTATAAATAGAATTTTGCTCGATTTGTAGCCAATTGCGACAACATTGATTTAATGATGAATTTTCGAATCCATGTTTTAACAAATTTATTTCCAATGTGCCCTTGATATTAAAACGTTAAAAAACGTTCATTAAACCCATCGATATGGATTCACCAAACTATAACGGATTAAAATAAGCATCCCTCGATAATAAATTTTAAGCTTTGATTTATATTTACAACCAACATAATAAATTTGTTATATAAATTATGTTTACGCTGTAGCAAATGCGTATATATCGAAGCTAAAAAGTTAATTAAACACAAAATTTCAAATATTCGAGGTTCACTTTTATTAAATAATAAAACTTATAGACTATTTTTGATAACACTTGAGATGAATTTTCTAAAAAATCACATCAATATTAAAAGCATAATAATTATTAAATTTAACAGATCATCGAAACTCGTTCGCTCATAAAATACATCGTTATAAATTCATAAATGAATAATTGAGGTAAAATATATTTACCTTTGTAATAAATTTAAGCTTCAATTTATATTTACAACAAACATCATACTAGATATTAGATTCATCATATATTTACGTTTTGCCTATAATATGCGCATATTGAATGAAAATTAAAAATAAAAACACTGCAATGAAGAATTACATTTGAAACTGCTGAAGTGCTTTTAAGTTTTTAAATCCTATCGATTCAGCAAACCATAAATAAAATATTTGCACTCAGTTACAGTAAAATCTTGTTCACATTATTGAAGGAAAGAACGTTAATGGTAATGAATGAAGGTGAAATGTAACGTTAAACGTTCCAGAAACGGGGTTTAATTAAAGTCGGAGACCAGATTAAGTTTTACCAGGTAATACTCGGAATTATACATATGCAGATGTTCTAGCTACCTAAGTTGAACTCTGTTAATGGTACTTGGCATGTTCGAACATGTCAACTCTGTTTTCAAAATGAAATGAACATGAAAATCTACTTAGACTTAGATTTTAATCAACTAGATTAACGAATTAATTTTATATTTAAGTAAAAAAAGTGATTTAAAAAGTTTTGTTACTTACATTTTATTTCTTGTATCGGGAATTTCTCGATTACTCGGAATATTATCGCTGGCTTGTTGATTAAATCTGTTCCTGACATACGGATCCTCGCCGTCCAAAAGACCACCTCTTGAAATATACGAGTTTTCGTTGAAATAATTCCACGTCAGCCGACTATCGGTAGTTTCAAAACTTTGAAGTGCCATTTGCATCCCTGGCCCTACGGCGGTTTCGTCTACGTATTGCGGAAGCGAGGCACCATCTTTTAATCTTAACGCTCTATTTTCGTTCTGAAATAAAATAGAGAAAGAAACTTTAAAGTCTGAAACAAGTTAAATCCGATGCTAATATAGTTTGGTTAAAGGATCTCGTTTGAAGTGTATATTCACTTCCCTCTACATACACATCCTTCAAGGTTCTTCAAACAAGTTCACGCTTTAGATCTGAAACGTGTGCGGTGCAGTGGTTTGTATGCAACCGCAACTTTCAGAAACAAGTACAGTTTGTGGTGAACTTGACGTTGGTTTAGTGTCGAAGATAGGTTCGATTATTGTTCGATGGATGATTGAAAAGTTTTATTCAAATAAAGCGAATGTTCTGTTATGGAATTATTTCGAGTATAACAAAAATATGCAATAAAATGTAAAAAGAAGGAAACAAAAAATGTAGACGAATATTTATTGTTACAGAAAAGTCAATATTATTTTTTGATTATTGTATTGAGTAAATGTAATACTCAAACTAGGTCTCATCGTCAGAACTGTGTGTTTCGAGAAACTCATAGTGAAGATGAAGTTGTTGTAGATAGTGTCTCTCTCGACAACTTCGTTGAAGTAGTATCTGAAACCGACAATGAGCAGTTACATAGTAAAGGAGGGGATATAGTGCAAGCAAAAGGAAGGAAATATAATCAATTTGAATATGTGGGGAAAATTTAGGACTAAGCGGAGATCAGAAAAGTTGTATTTAAGAATTTATGTAATCATATTTAAAGAGTGTGTAACAAAATTTAATTTATTTCGCGACTTTCAGATTCCAACTCAAAACGCCGAGGTTGCTTTCGGGCGAGACTTTAACTCTAGAATCTTTCAAAGCTGACGATTTCGTATTAATACATCAAATCCAGCGTCTCGCTCGCAAATGACCTGTGCACTTTGAGTTAGAGTCTTCCAAAGCTAATGTAAATGTCTTCCTATAAGAGAATTTGTATCAAAATATGTAATGAATGATTTTGCCTCAAATCGCCGAGGTGGCTTGCGTACGAGGCGCAAGATTCTTTCAAAGCTAACGATTTCGTATTGATACATCAAATCCATTTGATTATTCTAGAATAGCAAACTATTTTAGAGTAATACAGCACTGCGGATTAGAACAGAATTATCAGAAAACTCTGCATTAACAGAATAATCAAGAATATAAGAAAAGTCCATAGCAAGGAGAACCCAGAAATAACTATGTACATTAGAGTAATAAATTCTCTTAAATGGCAGTATCAAAATATTTCAACCCATCAAAGCACTTCAACAATTCCGAATAGCATAGTATTTAGACACTTTGAAATTATTGTTAACTATAACAACAGAATACTTTAGTAGAAAATACGATAGCCATAATGTTTAATGCGAAATGCTTTGGAAATATGACTGGTCGTAAACACAGAATTTTTCAGAAGGTCGAAATATTCTGCTATATGTCAACCTTAACGATTGCAAATATTCGATCTATCAGTATGCTCATTTTACATAAAAAAAGGCACTTAAAAAAGGTGATTAACAAATGGGAGGACTCAAAGGTAGCCTTGCGCTGGAAAGAACTTCCAAGACACAGACAGGCGAAGAGTGCAATAACTCCGTCGTAAAAGAAAACCAAAGAAATGTTATGCCTTAGCAAAGAAATTCTATCACTTCAACATTGGACACGCTGAGAATCAAACTTATCGACTTTGTAACACCTTGGAGTACTATCATGTTGTTACAGGTCTAAAGTAAGTAAAAATTCCTAGAAACTATCAGAGAAAATTGGGTTGAGAACTACAGTCCGCGTACCTACTTTAGCGCAAATAGGATTTAAAGATATACTGCCAAAGTAACCCCACATTTCTGCCTACTTTGGCACCACATAAAAAGATTTTTTTCTTCGATATGAGATAATAAAATCATATCATGTTTGGATGATCTACTGTCAATTATACACAAGGCATGATGCAATTTGACCTAGATTTTTCTTAAATCTTTGGAGGGCTTAAGTTACAATAGATTTCATAAGTAGCGGTGACGAATGAGGCCGCTCCCTTCAGTCCGGCAGAAATAATAATAGTAATATCTCATTCTACACAAGAAATTACAATTTTATACCTACAAATTAATGATAGTGTAATTGAAAACAATTTTACGAAAAATGCAAGGTATTGTAAACAACGATAATGAAGAAGATAGTCAAAGAACCCACGATAAAACTAATTACACCAGAGAAACTTTTATGGTGCGACAGCTCGATGAGAGGTTCCTTTACCGTGCCTATCCCTAGCCCTACACTTCCAACACCTCACACACCAAAACCCCTCTAGTGTCCTCCTCCACAGCATCCACCAATCTACGATTTGGCTTTCTAATATCTTTTTCCTAAAACCATTCTTTATAACGAAGGGCACTCCAAACTATTTTATTCCTTCAGTCTTCCCATTATAGCAGATGGTGTGAGTTTTCAAGTCTATAATTACCTTCTCAAGTCATCTAGTTTCTTGCAATGCAACAATTTTAAGCTCTAACTGTTCTAATAGGGAATTAGGTTCTCCTGACTTGTTAAGAGTAGCAATGTATGTAGTTTCATGTGAGGTTGGTTAAACCACAGGTGGTATAACCAAAGCACTTAGGCCTCAACGCTCCCTTTGTACATCCTCACGGTTTACTTCGGCCATGTGTAGGTCTATTTGGAGGAGTGAAAGATGTTCGAAGATGGCATCCGATCAGGCTGATACCGCTTCTCGCCTCGCCTTCAGCCGGGCTGGTACTCCAACGCCCAGCAATTTGAAGACGACCCCCAAGCCGGGCTGGTACTCCAACGCCCAGAAACTTGGGTGCATGGCTGAGTACCGCTCAAAGAGCGCAGACGCGCTTTCAACCCGTTTTTACGTTCACAACCTCCAACTACACATGTATCTGACGACAACCAGAGATGTTAGACTGGTTGCCGGGACCGACGGCTTAACGTCCCCTCCGAAGGACGGGGAGGCGACTCGGCGTGTATTCACTGGGAATCGAACCCAGGACGCCGGCGTGGTAGCCCGAGAGCTTACCACGGGGCCATTCGCCCCCCATCCAGGTGGTGTANTGGGTAACTGACAATATTAAGCTGCTTATGAAGCTGAGGGATAAAGCCTATAGGTCATTTAAGGCCTCCAGATTACCCTCTGATTTTAGCTATTATAAAGAATTGCGTAATTTCACCAATAATGCACTTCAACGTGAAAAAAAAGCTTTTTTATCTCACATATTCAGGGGTGGTGATTCCAGGAAATTGTGGGGTGCCTTTCGGTCTTTGGGCATTAGCGGTAATAGGACTGGTAGTATTCCCAGCAACATTGGTGATGCTGATTTGATTAACAATTCTTTTTTAGCCTCTCAAATTACTAACTCTGGTGATGCAGAACTTATTAAATTCTATAACTCTAATATTCTGCCTCAGATCTGTACTACCTTATCCTTTTCCTTAGCATCGGAAAACGAAATCTGTCGTGCGCTGCAATCTATTAAAACCAATGCAGTTGGAAGTGATGGCATTAGCGTAAAGATGTTACTTCTGTGTTGCCCTGTGATTGTTCCGTATTTGTGCCATATTGTTAATCTTTGTCTGGAACTGGGTGTCTTTCCTGATCAATGGAAGACTGCCTTAGTGTCTCCCATCCCGAAATGCAGTAACCCCTCAGGACTAAATGATCTTCGTCCTATTAGCATCTTAAATGTTTGCTCTAAGATAGTAGAAAGGATTGTGGCTGCAAGGATTTGGGATCATCTTAATACTTTTAATTTACTTCCATCTACTCAGTCTGGTTTTCGTCCTGGTTACAGCTGTACTACAGCTCTTCTGAATGTGACCGATGATATCTTGCGTGGATTGGATGAGGGAAATGTTACGGCTCTCATCCTAATTGACTTTTCTAAGGCTTTTGACACCCTCCATCATTCGACTTTACTTGCTGTGCTTCATTATGTTGGTTTCTCCCCGTTGGCTATCGATTTTTTCAAAAACTATTTTTTACATCGTTCGCAAATTGTTAAATTTCAGGGTGCTTTGTCGAAGAGAGGTTATATTACTTCAGGTGTACCTCAAGGATCAATCTTGGGACCAATATTATACCTAATTTACACCATTAATCTCTGTTCCAATCTAAAGCATTGCAAAACCCACATGTATGCTGATGATACTCAAATATACCTCGGTTTTGATGGGAGGGACTTGGGTATGTCCGAATTTCGAATTAATTCTGATCTTGAATTATTGCTTCAGAACACCAGGCGTCATTGTCTATCTATAAATGCATCAAAATCCTCTGTTATCGTCTTTGGAGGAGGGTTGCCGGCGAATAACGTTAGGCAGTCCTTAAATATATTTGTTAATAACCAACGACTTCAACTTTCAGATGTAGTACGTAATTTAGGTGTTACGCTGGACTCTGATTTGCGATTTAGAAATCATGTCAGAGGTCTTCTTCAGCGGGCTTATTCCACCCTCAAGTTATTGTATTCCAACAAAAACCTTTTACATCAAAAATTAAGAATACATTTGTGCGAAGCACTTGTGTTATCCATCTTTAACTACGGGGATCCGCTTTACCATTCTTGTATTGATGCTGCGGACAGAATTCGAATTCAACGGGTACAGAACTCTTGCCTTCGTTTTATATTTGGGATCAGAAGACGGGAGAGAATATCTCACTCGCTTGCTTGGGTCGGTTGGCTAGATATGTCACGACGGAGAATTTTACACTGTGCTTGTTTATATCATAAAATACTTATTTATAAGACTCCTCCTTATTTATATAACAAAATTAGTTATCGTACTGATGTTCATAATATAAATGTTAGACACAGGTATACGTTAACAATACCAAAGCACCGGCTTAAATTGTTTGAGCGAGCTTTTTCTTACTGTGTGCCTAACATTTATAACAACATTCCTATTCCGATGAGGCTGGAGAATGAGCGCGGATTCAAGAGAAAACTTAAAGTGGAGCTGTGGATGCAGCAGGAGGAAATGAGTCATCGTTAATATCATTAATACTTTTTTTTAT